AGCTTAATTTTTTTATTTTCCGAGAATATGTTATATTCAAGAAACGCCCTCTTTTTTTTATCGCAAGTAAAAATCGCAATTTTGTTCTCGCGCAAACATTCTGAGTTCGTAGTGCATCATCAGGTGGTACGCGCAACGTCTAAGGTTGTGCGAGCCTATCGCGCGCAACTGATTCAGTTGCGCATTACATCCGCTTGCAACTAGTTTAATTGCGCGCGACACCTGTGTTACGAGTGTTAAATTTTATTTTTTTTTGTATTATTACCCCCCAAGTGTGACGAGTTTTTCGTGGTGTTTGAAAAAATCTGAACACCTGAATGGCATATGTTTTGTTTATAAATTACCCCCCAAGTGTTATGAACTTTACCGTGTTATTCGGTAAAGTGCGTAACACTTAGAATCTTTTAATTGAATAATGCTCAAACAACTGATTTATTTAATGAATGAACGAGTTTATCCGGATTTCATATGTTATTTTTTTTAAGTGGATCAATGTTTATTAGTTGGTGAATTTCATCACCTCCAATATCCATTAATCTGACAGGTCCTCCTGATAGAATTTCAACTACGCGGTAAGGCCCTATCCAATTAGGTTTGAATTTCCCTCTTGCATCGGTTGGTGGGCCTCTAACCTCTTTTAGTACAAAGTCACCTTCTTTAATATTTCTATGTCATACCCTTTTGTTAAAATGTCGCGCAATGCGTCATTGGTAGACTTGTACATGATGCAAAGCTCTTAATCGTCGTTCATAGAGGAATAACAACTCTTCATACCTCGCTCTTACCCATTCAACTTCCGGTAGCTTACTTTCGAGTACGATGCGTAGGGGTGTTATTTCCCGTTCGGCTTGTTGAACTGCGTCCATTCCAAAAACTAAGGAGTATGGAGTTACTCCTATTGATGTTCATATGGACGTTTTATAACCCCATAGAGCGAAGTGTAGTTTATTCGCTCAGTCTTTATAATTTTCTGCCATTTTCTTAATGATGACTTTTATGTTTTTATTTGCCGATTCTAAAGCTCCATTCATTTGAGGTTTATATGGGGATGAATGATGGTGTTTTACTTTATAACGATTTAAGAGGGTCTCAACTTCAGCTTTGAATTGAGATCCCTGATCCCTAATTAGTTCGTGTGGAACTCCATATCTACAAAATATGTTTCTTTCAAGAAACTTTGCGACATGTTTAGAAGTGACGTTCACGTAAGAAGCGACCTCAATTTACTTAGGGTCTGTTCTCATATGTTGAAATTCAGTTCAGTTCAGCTCCTAATTTCCTTCTCTTATAAAATATTAATTTAAGTTCAGTTCAGTTCAATTCAATTTAGTTCAGTTGAGTTCAGCTCCTAATTTCCTTCTCTTATAAAATATTCATTTTAGTTCAGTTTAGTTCAATTCAGTACAGTTCAGTTCAGCTGAGTTCAGTCAATGAGAACAGACCCTTAGTAAAGTAATCGATGGCTATTAATACGTACTCGTGCCCTCCTGCTCTTGTTAGAGATATTTTTACAATTATGTCAATTCCTCAAGTCGAAAAAGGCCAAGGGGAAGTGAGATTATATAGTTTGGATGGTAGAAGGTGTTGTAAGTTAGAAAACATTTGACACTCTAGACATTTTTTAACATATTGTATGCAATCATGTTCCAGAGTGGACTAATAGTACCCTTGTTGTTAAATTATTTTAGCAAGCATTTTACCATTCATGTGAGGTCCACAAACGCCTTTGTGCGTATTCTCCATAAGGCATGTGGATTCAGGTTGATCTATACACAATAAGCTTTGACCATTAGGCACCTATTTGCATAATTGACCATTCAATAGACCATATTGGGCCGCAAGTGTTCTTAGGGCTCGTTGGTCTTTCGATGAAGTATTTTCAGGATATGTGTCATGGGTAATATATTAGAGGATATGATCATACCAAGGATTGTCTCCTTCAATGTCATTTATTTCCTTTATTGCGTTGCAATATTCTGGTGCTTATCTTCTATCAACACATAATGGCATCATATTTAAATGATTTTGAATGTTGATCATTGAGGCTAATTTTGCTAGCGCATCGGCAAAATGATTATCATCCCTTGGGAGGTTTTTAAAATAAATATATTCAAAATAATCGATGAGTTACTCTAGGTGTGCTTGGTATAATATCATTGTGGAGTTCTTTATTTTTTATTTTTTTAGTATATGGTTTATAATCAAACTAGAATCTCCATATACCTCTAAATTTTGCACACCTATGCTAGCTGCTTCTTCTAGTCCAATAATGCACGCTTCACATTCCGCGGCATTATTAGTAACCTCAAAGTATAGTCTGACAAAGATTGGAGTATGTGATCCCTCTAAACTTATAAGTAATTGTAGGAAATATTTCAATCATTACCCCAAACTTTAACCCCACCGTGATCATACACTTAAGCATGATGGCGTCCAAAGGGAAGGAAGCTAGAGCAAAAGAGTCGCCAACAAGTTTTAGGAACTTGTAAACCGTTCACAAGGTGAAAGGTACACCCCTTAACGATCCAGGAGATCATTAACTCCAATAGGTTTGGAACCATGACTGGAAGTTCGGGGATGAAGGTACAAATCCAATCTAAAAGAGATTGAACCTGCCCTAATAATAGGCCTCTACTTTATTCTTCTCGTATTTATGTGCGCTTTCCCACTAACATGCAATCATTAGGTTAACCCTAAACCTTTTTAATCTATGTTGGTTGAATATTAATGCAAAAATAAATCTATTATTGCCGATCACTTGAATTATAATCAAATTAACCCTAAACAAGATTATTAATCATCTTATTAAGCGTGATTACAAGTACCAATTCCCTTTAAACATGCATAAAAAGCGTGATCAAGCAATAACAAAATATATATCAAGCAACATAATATTAACAAACATCATAATAATAATAATAATAATAATAATAATAATAATAATAATAATAATAATAATATTGATCTGTATGAGATTATTACTTAGACAACAAATGAACCTATTGGCTTACCAAAAAAAAATAGTAATAATAATCCGAATTAAAATAATCATGTTAAATCATAATAATAGCAAGATCCTAGGCATGATACTAACAAGACTAATAACAAACCCTAGCATGTCACTAAACATCAAAGATTAAAGTTTTAGCCCTAACATGATACTAACATGCTATTAAGAAAGATAATAGGAAGCATCATGGAAATCATAATTGATATTAGAAACTTAATTAACCCTAAACATGATACTAAGAAAAGCATCCTAACATGATACTAGGAATCAAAATAACAACCTAAACATGATTTCTATATCAAAATATCATTTAAACAATAAAAGTACTTACTTGGATGCCTCGTACCTCTTTCACGTCTAGGGCGAAGGCAACTTCGAACTTGGCTAGGTGTCTAGTGCTAATTTATGAAGAATTGTGTTTGTAAGAGGTTAGGCTAGAAAGAGGGAGAAAGAGAATAAGCTTTAGCTTAGAGAGAGAAGAATAAGAGAATTCTAGTTTATTCCAAAAACGGAGGTCCAGGGACCCTATTTATAAGAAAATAGTCCAGAATCGATAGAAATGAATCAGAGTTTAAAAGGAATAAAACATGCTTCAGTCGCCAACGCCATGGCTTCTCGCCAAGCGAAAAAATTGTCGCTAGGCGACAGGGTTTGTCGCCAAGAAACCAACCCGTCGTTTGGTGATGTAGAAGGTTTTCCACGCGTCTTCAATGCGGAATCTACTTTTTAATAAAATCAAGTCGTAAAGTCGAACGAAGGGTAAAATCGTAATTTCATTTTAAACACCTCTTTTATTCCAAATAAAACCCATAAAATAAAATTATCAATCTTAGTCCCATTAGGATTCAAAAGAAACTTCTAGAAGATTCTAGAAAACTATAATCAATCCTAACTGTATTAGGAATGATAATTCATAATTGGCCCTCCTTTAGATCATTGGGCTGCATATAAGAACCAAATTGTGCCCAGTTTAGTATTTTGGTCATAACTTCCTCATTATACATCGGAATTGGGCATATAATATATTTTTGGAAAGCTCTTTTCGAGCCCAATTTAACTACACTATTATTGGACCCTTTTGTAAAACCAAACTAAACTGGATTGACTATTTTCATAAAATAGAGTAGGATTTTAAAAACAGAGAGAAAGATTATTGTTCAAAACTAACCACAACATTATACTTTCCACATTTTCACTTCATTCGATTATGATTCAACGCAAAAAATATTCATCACCTGGTTTGGTTTTGGGGAGACACAAATTGGTGTCTACAGAAGCACCCACTTTGACTATGTTTGGAGAAACTTATGTTTCAAAAACAAAAGTCAAAGTAACGATAGGGATAATGAATTATTCAAAATGTTTTGTGATCCTAAATCATTCTTGTAACGCCGATACCTACAAACTAGCGTTAGTTAAAACAGATAAGAGAGTTAAGAAACGCATATCTTGCACCGTCGAGCACACGTCTCTGAAGGTAACCGATTTCGTTGTGACGATCTTCCTCAAGCTAGGGGATACTGCCTAAAGTTTGCTACGCTTGTAACTGCCTCCAATTTCCTCTGTGATAGTCTTCTGCAAGCCAGAGAACAATATCGAAGACTTCTTCGCTTGAAATGATCTCCATTTTCCTTGTGACCATCTTCCGCAAGCTTGGAAACTTGATTGAAGATAACTTCACTTGAAATCACCTCCAGTTGTTTATGACAACCCTCCGCAAGCTAGGAAACGCTGTTGAAGATATCTTCGCTTGAAGTCATCCTCATTAGTTGCGATAATATTCCAAAGAACATAACCAAAGATCAACACTTGTCCACCTTTAAAGCTCGCTTGAACTTTGCTTCCGACATGCCAGTACGTCGGCGCTTTTGCTAATTGTGAACCATTATGTCGGTGCCTTTGCAATGTGACAAAGTTTAGGCGCTTTAAGCTAAGTGAGACTATCATTTACCAGGTCGATCACTTAATGTGATTGTAATCGAGTCGATTACTAAATCATGTCAAGTTGCTTAGAGGGGCTAACTTGCGTACCAAGGAACCCAAACTACTGCACGAGGTCCACATAACCATATTATGGGGCCACACACTTTGTCGCCGCACTAGCGCCTGCTGGAAGTTGTTGTCGCCGCACATTCTTCTTATCTCCAAATGACAGACTTTTTCTCTAGGCGACAAATTTGTCGCTTGGCGCTGCACTCGGGATTTTTGAATAAATCCCCTTTCTTCTTCATTTCCCTGTTGCTGCTGTTTTTTTGTTCGCGATTCGCTTCTTACTTCAATTCACTCATTCTCGCTCATTTCTCAACCAAATACGGACAAAAGTTTTGCAAATCAAAGCTTACTTCATCTAGTTTCTTGATCTATGTAAGTTTTCTTAAAACTCACTCGAATTTTGCTGAATTTTCGCACGTTATTTCACGAATTTTCTGAAAATTCAAAAATTACTTTTCTCAATTTGCTTTATATGTTTAATTGTATTCCATGAAATTGCTTGATTATGCTTTTATATTTCCTTGGGAGTATTTTGAGACTTGTTTGACTCAATTTGGTGGAGAAACGAACGATTTACCATTGTTGAACCCCCTAAGGTCGTGTGAACAATACAGCTTGTTCTTCGCGTTTTTTGCTAGCTATTCTTGTTCAATTTGTCACAATAATTGTCATAGTATTGCAATAAATGGTTTAATTGCTTGAAAATACCATATATGCTTGAATTAAATTCGTGCTCTGTTTTAGTACTACATAATATCTTGCGGCTAGGCGAAACTTAGACACTATAAAGCCTTAATTTTTGTTATTTTGCATAATGTAGAATGGCTAGACAACACGGTTCTGGTTCTTGGTCTAGAGACACCCGACGGGAGCACGAGCCCGTTGGTGAGGGTGAGGAGCCATCCACCTCTCTAGGACCCTTCCCTGAGTGGGATGAGCGGACCTTGTTTTTCCCTCCTGAGCACCACATCTCTGAGCGGGTGCGTCGCGGGATCGTTAGCGAGAGGACTCGTAGCCAAAACTCTAGCAACGAAACCATTGGCTATTTGTTGGACAAATATTATCGCAACGATGAGGAGTTGCGACGGCTCTGGGAGTCTTGCGAGCTGACCGCCTTGCTTCGGGCCACTCAGGCTATGTACCCTTTCAACCCGAGCCACCACATGGTTCGAGCTTTGGTGGAGTTCTTTTGGGACACCACCAACACCTTTCACTTTCTCTGGGGCGAAAATACTGTCACCCCTGCTGACTTCAGTCTTATCTTGGGACTAGAGTTCCACTCTACTACGCTACCATTTGACATTAGGATTATAGTAGGAGCTGTTGGGTCCGATTACTATTTGGGCCCGTGCCGAGGTTGAGCCTGCATGACTTAGTGCTCGGTGTATCCGTTGGTCTACTCCTGCAATGGCCACTACAACATAAACGACCAAATGCAATGGTCTTAAGCAACGGTTAAAGAGTATTGCAACGATTGAGTGCAACGACCTAAGCTAATACAACAGTTATTGCAACGGTTATAGATAATACAACCGTTTGTAGCAACGGTCTTTGCTAATGCTACGGTTTTTTGCAACGGTTTAAAAATTAGCCATGGCATTAGGTCTTTAACCGTTGCATTATATGATTGTAAGACCTGATAAAATAAAATAGGAGTATAAAAGTTTTGGAGTTGCGCGCTATACCCTGGACTTTTTGTGCGCTTTTTTTCCCCAAAATTTCAAAACCCTCATTTCTTTTAGTCTCAAATTCTTAAGTCTCTAGTACATTACTCCCGATTTACCAAACTTCAGCTATATTCTAGAGAATTCCCATTACCAAACTCTTTTCAAAACCCCCAATACAGAACGAAGTCGACATTGGCGCTCCGGCATCCATTTGGAGATTAATTATCAGGTAATTTCAAACTCTCTTTGTACTGTGCTTCTAATTAAGTATGCAGGTTTCAATTTTTCTTTAACATTATATTTTGTTTGCAAATTTTCATGCTCAATTGACCTAGAATTTTCAATTGATTGAAGTTTTTGTTAATTAAAATTATCTAAATCTTCAACCTTTTGTTCTTTTTACTGTATAAACAATCTTGTTGTTTTATATTACTTAATTATTGATAAGAAGAACATCTGACCCAAATTATAGTAGATTAGAGGTCTATTAATTAGGGAATTATAGTCAAAGTAGCCTTTAAATTGAGGATTTGGTAAAGATACAAGAGGTGGAGTTTGTATTTTAGTAAAAATAATGGTGGGCTGGTTTTTTTTTAGTATTGAAGATTTGCGTAGGCTTCAAACTTGAGCCTTTTCAAGTTGAGCTTTTTAGTTCTTATTGTTGTGCTTTTATTTTTATATTTTTTTTTTATTTACGACCTCAATAGTTGAGAATTGTCAAGTTGTTATATATGTATATATGCATGTTTCTACACTTAATCAATTCTCAATTTTTTCTACTCTTAATCAATTCTCAATTTTTGAAACTTAGAGTTATTAAATCCATGTACTCTGACCTTGACGAGGTTGTGGGATAGTATCTTATCTTTTATTCTCATTTGAACAAATTGATGTTGTATTATTTTGCAAGTTTCTTTGGGAATTTGAGACTTATTTTCTTTAGCAAAATGCTTTCCTCACAAATTATCAAGTTTGGTGTGCATTAAAGAGTCTCTCTATATTTGAAATTATCAGGGATGAGAAATTTCACTCATTCAAGGTGAATTATTATTTGACTTATCAATTACTTCCGTTTATATATTTTTTAATTATGGTGTCCAAGTTATGTCTTCTATTTTATTTTTATTACCTCCCTATTATTGTTCCTTTTAAAATGGTTTAGACAAGACTTTAAACTCTAGTAGGATACAAATGCCCATGAGATGGTTTTTTTCTATTGATTTGCGTGGAAGGGGAATTGGATAACGAAAATTACGATGAGTGTGTATTGATTCTATATATTAATTTGACAATTTTTTTAAACAAATTGTATGCATATTGAATTTATGTTTTCTATTGACTTTATTAGGAGTAAAGCAGTACCTCAGTTTCGGTATTTGCAGCACTACACTCCCTCAGTTGGCCTAGGTAACTATCTAATAGTTTGGGTTTAATCCATTGAGTAATAGTATGGAGTATAGAATATATTTGATCTTGTGATTAGTATCATGTTTAGGACATGAAATTGGGTTATGCATATATCTGCATGTTAATATTGGATACTCTTGTACTAGTCTTGGTTAGCAACCTTATTTTGTATCATTGGTAATTCATTCTCCAAATCATTTATGCAATATTACTTTTATTTGTAAACATTTGAGTATTGTTATTGTTTCATATATACTATGTATTGATTCTAGCATGAAGGTTTGGGTTGTGGTGGAATTAGATGCATAATTATGTATTTAATTAAATAGTTGACTTTAGATTTATTAAATTACGCATTAGTATTTGGACCAACTCTTAGTTCTTACTTCTTGTTTGACTTATACTTTTATAATCATAGTGTGACTTTCTCTTATTGTTTCATGTATTGCATGATTTTACATATACGATTATTTCTGGTGGTTGTTCTCCCTCACTTGCTTTTTTTATATTTATATTATATTTAATATATATTTATTGGAATAAAAAAATGATAAGCAAATAACCGTTAGTAGGGTGAATTTTGTATTTATATTTTTGTAATTGGCTATATATAATAATAGAATATCTATTTTTTCTTTCTTGCCTTTAACTAGAGTAATGGATAAAGTAAATACAAAGTGGTGGACATTTTCTAGATGGAGTGATGAATATGAAAATGGAGTTGATAATTATATAGAAAAGACTTTTGCATCCAGCTCACAAGGAGATCAAATTTGTTGTCCATGTGAAATTTGTCACTATCGTTATTGGCATAATAGGAATGTTATTAAAGAGCATATGATTTGCAACGGTTTTGTCCCTAGATCAGACATATTGTTAGATGTAAGGGAGGACATCGAAAGAAAAGATGTAGTAGTTGATTCTGATGTACCCCAATACATAAATGATGTGAATGATGACATAGAAGGTTTGTTAAGTGATACCTTCAAAGAGGGGCCAAATGAAGATGCAAAGAAGTTTTTTAAACTTATTGAAGAAGGGCAACAAGAATTGTATCCAGGTTGTAAGAAAATGACAAAACTTGCCTTTACAATTCGACTATTAATTTTCAAGTGTGATTATAAGGTTAGCAATGTTGCAGTTGGTGCTTTATTAGCGTTTCTTAAGGATATATTGCCTGATGATGCAAAGCTACCTTCTTCTTTTAATGATGCAAAAAATACTTTAAAAGTATTGGGCTTGGATTATGAGAAGATAGATGCATGCCCTAATGATTGCATGTTGTATTGGGTGGAAAATAAAAATGCAACAAGTTGCCATGTTTGTAAGACTTCAAGATGGAAATCAAATGAAGAGGATCAGGTAAATGAAAAGGCCCATAAAATACCTGCCAAAATTCTAAGATATTTTCCCATCAATAAAAGGTTGCAAAGGCTATTTATGTGCCAAGAGACAGCAAGGTACATGACATGGCACGCAAATGGACGTGAAACTGATGGACTTTTATAGCATCCTGCTGATGGTCAAGCATGGAAGGACTTTGATAAGTTGTATCCAAAGTTTTCTGAAGATCCACGTAAAGTTAGACTATGTATGGCTACTGATGGATTTAACCCATTTCACACGATGAGCATCGTACATAGTACCTGGCCAGTTATCTTGATAAATTATAACTTACCTCCCTGGCTGGTTACAAATCACGAGTTTTTAATGTTAACATTACTTATTCCTGCCCCTTCATCCCCGGGCAATGATATTGATATCTATCTACAACCGCTAATAAAAGATCTAAAAGAGCTATGGGAGGTTGGGCTGGAAACATATGATGCTTCAACTGATAAGAGGTTTATGATGCATGCAGCTTTATTGTCTACGATCAGTGATTTTCCAGCTTATGCAATGTTGTCTGGTTGGAGCACAAAGGGGAAAAGGGCTTGTCCTTGCTGCCATTATGATACGGAATCACAATGGTTGGACCATAGCCGTAAATTTTGCTATTGGCATCATCGTATATTTTTGGATTCAACCCACCCTTAGCGCCATGATAAGAGAACTTTTGGAGAAATTGAGGAGAGAACTGAACCTTTTAGATTGAAAGGTACTGAAATTGAAGATTTACTACAAGATTTTCCCAATGACTTTGGAAAGATGAACAAAAAAAAGCACGATGATGATGTTCCATGGAGAAGTTGTCAATTTTGTTTAGCCTTCCTTATTGGAAGCATTGTACAAATCGACATAATCTTGACGTGATGCACATAGAAAAAAATATATTTGATAATATCATTGGAACATTGTTTGATATATCTAAGAAAACCAAGGACAATGTGTGTGCTCGTCGTGATCTGAAAGTTCTTAAAATTTTGACAGAACTTCAGCCTATTGAAATAGATGACCTTCGTGAAGAGATCCCAAGGTCACGCTTCTGGATGACATTAGAGAAGAAGCGCTTGTTTTGCCGAACCATAAAAAATGCAAAGTTGCCTCAAGGGTATGCTTCTAATATTGCTCGTTGTGTGCAAGTTAATGAGGGGAAGATAACAGGATATAAGAGCCATGATGCTCATTTTTGTATGCATTACTTGCTTCCAATTGCAATAAAGGAAACTTTACCTAAGGAAGTTGCAACTCCGCTGATTAGACTTTGTCAGTTTTTTAAAGGCATATGGGGTAAAACCATTGACCCAAAAGACCTTGACAATCTTCATTCTCAGATACTTGAATTACTTTGTCAATTAGAAATGATTTTTCCACCTGCTTTTTTCACTGTAATGGTCCATTTACCAGTTCATTTGGTGGAAGAAATCAGGCTTGGAGGTCCTATTTGTAATAGATGCATGTATGCAATTGAGAGGTTTCTTCATGAGTTGAAGGATGATGTTCGGAACAAAGCTTGCCCCGAGGGCTCAATGGCAGAAGCATATTGGGCTAAAGAGTGTCTTCGATTTTGTGCTAGATACATAAATCGACCAAAGACTCCTTCAACTAGTGGTAAGTCAAAAACCGCACAACCATTCCTTCCTAATATTGGTCGACCGACTAGGGAGAAAGGAAAGCCCACAAAGAAGAATCAATATGGATTTATGATTGATCACATTACATGGGACCAAGCCCATCAATATGTGTTATTCAACTTTGATTGCAAGGAAGTTGAGAGATACATCAGGTAAAATTATTCATAAAAAAATCTCAATATCATATTTACAAATATATAGACTCAATCTTCATCTTTTCATTAATTACAATACTAATATGTGTGTAGTTTTATTAATATTTCAGTGAACACATGGCAACTTTAAGCTCCCATAGGAAACGAAAATGGGATACTGTTCAGAATCATAGTAAGGAGTTTATGGCTTGGTTTAAGGAGAAAGTTGCCTGCATGATTCAGCAAGGTGTTGTAGCACCAGACCACTTGAAATGGTTATCAAAAGGTCCTTCTTATGTGGCAAAAAGGTACACTGGGTACTCTGTGAATGGATTTCACTTTCACACTATGAAGCGTGATGCAAATTCTATATCACAAAACCATGGAGTAACTTTAAACGCTCTAACACCTAGATTTTCTAGTAGCAAAGATCAAAATCCTATAATGGGAAGTGTTATTATGGTTCAATAGAAGATATCATTGAGCTATCATACCATGGCCAATTTAGCATTGTCTTATTTAGATGTGTGTGGTTTTACTCAGAAATGAATGATGAATTTATTTTGGTTAATAAGAATAGAACCATTGGTGGGGGAGAACCATTTATTTTAGCATCTCAGGCACGACAAGTTTTCTATGTGGAAGACTTAACCAAGAATGGTTGGTTTTATGTTGTTCACAACCTTCCTACAGAACTCTCTGATGGTAGGATGTTATGTCTTGTTTTTCTAAAAAAAAAAATTATAATATGTAATGTTGATTGATACATTAAATTACTTTATCAGTTGTTTCCTTTTCTTATGGCTTGTTCTTTTTTTTTCTCTTGTAACATACAAGTTTAAATATTTTTTTTAATAAGATAAATTTATTTTCATATGTGTAGATGAAGGGGATTAAGGCTAAATCCATCCCTCAAAAAAAAGTGATAACAGATTATGAAAGGCAAAGACTAGAGCAACTAAAGCGTAACGCGGACATAATGGCAGCTTCTAGAAAAGGAACTTTGGCATCACAAATTTATGATAAATCTCGAGCCTTTTCATATGCCCTTAATGCTATCAGCACATGGGATGACAATAATTTGTTTTCAGATGAAGATGATGAAAATGATGATGAGTACATACCTGAATATGAGGGTAACCAGGATGAAATTGACTCTAGTACTATAACAAGCAAGTGTAAGGTTAGTCTCATAAATACATGTATACAGATTATTTTTGACATCTCCCCCCCCCCCTATTTTTTTTTTTTTACTTATGTAACATTGTAATTCCGTCATAAACTCCCTTAGTTTGATTTATCCATATAAATTATAAATAAACCTATTTTTTTAGGCTGTTGTGAGTGGGAAATTTTGTGGAGGGTCAACAAGAGGCATGTCACCGCTTTCATATCTGCCACATGTCAAGGATATTGCTACCAAAAAGGCTGCTCGCAAGGTATGTATGTGTCATCTTCAGTCTTATTCAGTCGCCTTAGTGTTTGGACCAACTCTTATTCAGTCGCCTTCATATTCTAATATTTTCTTATGTGCAATTAAACACAGGGCTCTTCAAACAAGTCGGGCTCAATGGCTGCATTTGTTCAGAACACCACAAAACATGGTGTGGAAAACCATACCGAGCTACCTCCAGTCAATTCAATAGGCAAGTTTCAACAAAGAGATCACCAAAATGGAAATAACCCATCAGGAAAACAAGCTCTCCAGCCACAAAAGAAACACCAACAAAAGACTTTTTGTTGTCCTGGATCATTGACTGCCTTTCGTGAGCTACGAAAAAAGCAATCAGAGAATATGATTCAAGACAATGAAACAAACAGTACTTCCAACCTTGAAGTGGCATATGAAGGCCAGTTGATCTCTAGTAGTGCAAATGACTTTGTAAATGAACAACCTGTAGATGCATGATGGCAACAATGTAATTGAAGATATAACTGAAGCGATAGACGAGGACTCTCGATTGAGAACTAAAAGCCCACAAGAAGGTACAACACTTTTTTTCGATTGTGGAAAGTTTTTTTGTCATTTGATAAATCTTTTTGTTACAACATTGTATTAACTTACAACTTTTTCCTTCACAGTTCCTGCAAAAAAGAAGCATCGAGGTCCAAAAAAATTGGTTAAGGTTCATGGTCGTCCTAGGGAGGAACGCCCTTACCTTATCTTGAATATTTATGGGCAACCAGTTGGACCTACTGATGAAGTAGTCGATGAATTTACTCAATTTTTGGGAACTGTTGCTAGAAATTCTGAACTAGCCCCACTTAATTATGTTGAATGGCCAAGCCTTCCCACACATAACAAAATATGGGATTATGTCCAGGTTTGTCAATCGATAAAGTATTTCATTCTTATCCTTTAATTTTTTTTGAGGTCATTTTATTATCCTTTAATTAATTATTATTAGTTTGTACAAGTGTATATATATATATATATATATATATATATGTAAATGCTTTTTTTGTGTAGGAGAAATATTTGGTTCCTGAAGAAGGAAGAAAATGGGTAATGGAAACTGTCAATTATGCTTGGCGTATGCACAAGTGTAGGACAAAAAAGAAGCATTTTTATGCATTTGATACTGATGAACAAAGAATGATAGAACGTCTAAAGACAATGCCAAAAACTCATTTTGAAGATCTGTTAAAGTATTGGCATTTGACAACAACTGAGGTACTTGGTGTTTAACTTATCTATTTTAGAACCAAGAAAAGTTGCACATTTTTGTGTGTTTCGAATAAAAAATTCTAGATTCATTATATACGTTAAGTTAATTTTTTTACAGGAAGAAAGTCAGACCAACAAAAAGAATCGTCAAAAGGCAGAAGACATCCGTACTATGGGTCCAAAATCATATGCTAGGTTACGTCATAAGCTGGTAGTATATATTTGTACAAATCTTTAATTTTCACCTAAATATGTTTTTTTAGCTAGTCATTTACAAATTCATTTAGCTCATAAGCACCTATCTTATAAACTCTTTGTATAGAAACAAGAGGACCCTAACAAAAAAGAACCCTCTTAAGCAAAGGTGTACAAAGAATCAAGGAAAAGGAATCCCAATAAGACATACAAAACCAGCTTTGGGAAAACGAAGAATAATATAGTGAGTTTAAACTACTATACCAATTTTTTAATATTTTTTTTATGTGAAAAACTAAGCTATACATACATAACCTCTAATTATTCATGTATATAGGAACAAATTGAAGCTCTGGAATCTCAAGAACATGAACATGGCCCTAACACTATTGATCCATACTATCAAGTGATTAAAAAACCAGAGCATAATGGTCGTGTACGCCTCTATGGGAAAGGTGTGACCATGTCTGATTTGAAGAAGAAAAAGGATCTAAATCTGAGTACAAAATTCCTCAAGAGTTTCTACAGAGTATTCATGCAACATTGCTCGAACAACTCCAAGAGGCTAATCTTGGAATAAATCTTGTAGTTCCTGAAATCTCAACTACAGAGTCGCCTATTCCAAGAAATGCAACTAACGACACATTACAAGTGAATGAGGCTGCTGGTGATGAGCATTCTTCTCCTAGAACAGAACCTTCTAATCAGGTAATGTACATATATGTGGCTATATTTAAAATTGCAGAGTACTTTACTCTTAGTACTTGTTCTTTAGATAATTTATCATACTATTTTTATATTGCTTAGAAACTTTTGCCATTAATGTTAAGGCTATGTGTTGGTTAGGATAAGAGAGAAATAAGGAAAAAAAAGTTATTACAGGGCAAGTGATTTGATTCATGGAAATGTTGGGCGAAATAGCAGTAGAGTTAATTGAGGAGTGAGTGTATGCATTTTGATGAACACTTTCTATATATAATCCAACTTTATTTTGCTTAATGTACTTGCTAAGCAACAATTTGCAGTTGTGTATTTTTTGTGCTCAATTCGTCAGCTTTTTGTCATATTATTTTTTTTTTCATGGGAATTGTTGTTCTATTGTTCCTTTTTTTCTATCAATTGAGAACTAAACCTTAAAATTATGTATGTAGATACCAAATATTTTAGTTGCTTACTATTATGACTCTTATATTCCATACTTATAACTGTTTAAATTATGCATTTTGAATTTGCAGATTGTTGAAGAAAATTTGGATTAGAGAAGGATGCATGAATTATAACATTTTGGTGGTGGCATATCTTGTATAAATTGTCATATATGTAGTGACAGCTTTTGTGGCCGTAAATATCATTGTGATCACAAATCAAACATCTGTTTTGGTAAATGTTTTTGTGATCTAACTAATGTAAATTGTGACTTGCTTTTATCTTTTGGGCTAGCTAGTTGACAAGTACAACAAAGTACTTCATCATTTTGTATTTTGCCAAACAATTGGGTGACTAATATATATATATATATATATATATATATATATATATATAATATATATATATATAAGATCGAGATTGATGATTTTATGGTTAATATTATTATTTATTATTTTGTACGCATATAATAAATTTAATTAAATATAAATAGGGAAGATTAATATTAATTTAATTTTCACTATTATTTATTATTTATTATTCCTATATAATTAAATCGTTGCATTAGTACATCACAATGATTGGTAAACCTACTGCAACGGTTTAAGTAAAGGCCAAGGAATGTTGCATTAGGAACATACAAGTGTTGCTTTAGAAATAATGCAACGGGTCATGGAGTATTGCAAGCACTGTTGCATTAGATCATATTGACCTTTGCATTAGACCCTAATGCAACGGTCAAAGGTAGATGTTATAAGACCGTTGCATTAGCTTAAATAACCGTCGCATTATACCTAGTGCAATGGCCGCAACAGCAACGGTTTATGAACCGTAACAATAGGTCTAAATCAACGGTTTTTTGCCCTATGGCAACGGTTATTTGGGGTTGCATTAGCTCGTTTATGTAGTAGTGGGCTTTTGAGGATGATGCGAACACCAGTAAGCAACGGGTGCGCATCTTCGTTCTTATCTTACTGTCAGGGAATTTTTCACCTGACAAAGGTAGCCGAATACCTCTCTACCACCTTCCTGCTCTCCGCGACCTTCAGCTGGTTGGGATCTATGACTGGGCCAGCTTGGCCTGTGCTGATTTCTTGCTGGGCTTACGACGCTCCTGTCGTCACAGAGCTTTCATAGGATATATCGCACTCTTCAGCTTCTGGAGAATTGTAGAGGCATAAATTACCCCTTTCTAAAGTTAGCTCTAGATTCTTACTAGAATTCGCTGATCTTCTTCTGTTTTTGTAGATTTGGTTCTACGAGTATTTTCCGTCGCTAGCGCCGGCGAGACCTTCTCCTCCCGAGCTCCCTATTAGCAGCTGTTGGGGAGGTCGCATCAGTGATCAGGCCACTACTGCCCATGTCCAAGAGTTGATCCTCTCGGTATGTTATTTTTGGACGCTAGTCCTTTTTGTATTGCCTTTTAATAGACTTATATCTCACAGACATGTTTTGCAGGAGCCTGATGTAGTGTATCGGCCATGGGGCGATCTGGCTATTCTTGCGCTGGTTGCGCAGTACACCATTGAGCGTCGCTACTTTCAGGGGACGTACGAAGTCGTGATGTACCCCGGTGAGGGGGTGGCTTTTCAGCACTCTTCGGATATTTTTGTCGTCCCTACTCCTCCGCCTCGACACATGTTTCATGAGGCGATGCTGATAAACCTAGCGGAGAGGTCGCTTGTTGGTACCCCTTAGCGATCTCATGCTCATCCAGGGCGGTGTTACGAGGTGGATTTGCCGCCAGTACTAGCTCCAGCCCCTGTTTTATCCGAGGAGGCGGCGATATGCTTTTTATCTTTTGTTTTTTGTTAGATAGCCCCCAAGTGGACTTTAATCACTTATATTTGCTTTTTTGCCAGGCTGGGCCTGCTAAGTTCGTTCCTTCTTTGATGTCCATCAGTTACTAGGGGACATATGGCCCCGTTGAGGAGATGATTCCTCCAGCTTCTAAGGATTAGCGCTTCGTCGAGCTATCTATTCCTTGTCACCAGACTTGGGTAAGTTACTTGTTTGCTAATTATTTATACTTGTCTTGTATTGTTACTAACTTTGTTTTTTGACAGTTCTCTCGCGAGGTGGTGTCAACGATGGCGAGGTGCATAGACGCCTTTCGGAGTCAGCTAGTGAGGATGAGGAACGTAGCTTCCTGTCGTCGCGACGACGTTGCTGAGTATGTATCTTTTTTTCTTTTATTTTATATTTTTTATCCTCCTGTTTTCTTTGCATCTGACTTGATTTAATTTTGCAGGGACAACCTATTCCTTCATCTACTCGGACGAGACTCGAGCCTAGGAGGGAGTCGTCTAGGTCAGGCTCGAGGCGTTGTCCCACTACTTCTGGTGGCCGGGATAGCCCATAAGATGCTGCTTGGACCAAGATATTGGAGGGTTCGGGTTCTTCATTCGAGGGCGTACAGACTGGGCCAGTGGGCCAAGGAGTGGCGACATCGGCTCCTTCGGTGGGTGGTGGGACGTGCGAGTTTGGCTCGTCGTCGCAGCAGCCTCAGGCTTTGTCGATTCAGTACCTAGGTGAGCCTGGGTGGACTGGCCCTGAGTTGAGGTTCCCGCCTCCTGGCTAGTCTGGAGCTGGTGAGGAGCATACTCCTTGGTCTGCGATGTTCTTCGATATGATGAACATTCCTCATCATCTACGTCCTCCGACACCATAGTTGTACCTGTGTTTTTATTTATTGTATCTTTGTAGGACTTTGCTGATTTTTATTATTTCACTCTTATTTTATATACAAACTATTATCTATTATGACTATGTTATCTTTGCATTTTTATTTTTCATTTTATGTGCATATGTGTGTGCTATTAATTTTGCGCAAAAATTTCCCTCGTTTTTATTATTGATGGAGGGTATCAGACATTCTACCCCGAAAAGAAAAAAAAAAATAGTTTGGACTAAAATAAGCCTAAATTTAATTAAGCTCGAATAAATCCAAGAAAAAGGAAAACTATATTGAATTTTGTGTATAGGGTGATTGAACAAAAGGGCAAATTTATAGTCATTGTACGAATTTGAATCATATTCAGAAAAACGTGGTTTACATAGCACGTCGAGCTGGATTACAGCGTCATTCGTCGCGACGCGCTACATTTTTTCGCTAAGCGCTGTTTTCGTCGCTAGGCGATAGACTTTATCGTCAGGTAACAAATTTGTTGTCTTGCGCTGCAGTGCGTTGCCTCCGAATCCTTTCTGGAATCGAACTGCACTAGTTTTGGGCATAAATAGCCCCCTAATCTGCAGATTTTCTGTATAATTCGAACAAATTAATCAATTATTATAATCATAGCTTCTCAACAAGTA